GGTTACTAAATGTATTAAAACTATTATAAAATCTTTGACCATCTCGTCTCACTGTCTGCCTAACACAGATCACCATGAGGTGGGTGCCTGATAAGGGGTGAGGGCCCTTCCCCCCCCCCCAGACTCAATATAACTCTGCCCTTCTTTTCTCTGAGATTCTCAAGGAGCAACTGGGAGGATCCATCAAATTGCCTTTCTTGGGTGCACATTTCTTAAGCAAGTGATGCAGAGAGGATGTTTTCCTGTGCAATTATCAGAAATGCAGTGTAGAAATTCACATCTTCTCTATTATATGTAAAGGACATTGTACAAAAATGCCAAACTTACTGGTGCTATAAAAGTGAAAAGGAATGGAAACCAGCCAGTGTGCAAAGGGAAGACATTCTACTACTGTCCAATGCTTCTGTTGCATGGAGAAGATGCAAACATGACAGATGATGTGGGTAATGTTATTTAAAGAAATGAAAGTGTGGTCATAGGTGAGAGCAGGGTCCCTGACCTTAGTGTTCATGCCTGGAAGCAGGTCATTGTAGAGTGGGCAGTGCCCATTCTGACTCGGAGGTGGGGGGGAAGTTGTATAGTGGGCAGTGCCCCTGTCTGACTGTGGGGGGTGATGTATGGTGGGCAGGGTCTGTGTCTGACTGTGTGTGGGGGGTGATATATGGTGGGAAGTGTCCCTGTCTCACTGTGGTAGGAAATGAACATTGAGATGATCTACATTTTGTTTACCTCCCACCCCTGCATTTCTGACAGTGATGCTTTGATGATGCTGTATTTTAAAGTTCTGTCTTGTGGACACCCAGTGTATGCCACTTCCCCACAAGAGACAATGTTCCATAGTAGCAGTCTTTGGGTAACATTGGTCCATCCCTTTTTAGCCTTCTGGTGGATCACTGCAGTTCTGATGGAATCATCTCTGAACCTGGAGAGTGTGAGAAATGGATCCAGGGCCATGAAGTTAGGCCACTGAAGCACCTCTTAAGGCAATTTAACACTTTTGTCTTAACAAGGATTTTACTTTTGTGTTGAATCTATGCCAAAAGTACCAGTACCTCATGTCAAAAAAGTGTGTGTAAGCTTTTTTTTTTGGTTGTGTGCATATGTATGTACATTCGTGGGTGCATATGTGTAGTGTATTGCAAGCATGTCTGAGTGTGTATGCATGCATGTTAGTGTGTGTGGTGTGTGCATATATTTGTGTGGTGTGCGTGTGTATATGTGAGTTTGGTGTGTGTGTGAGGAGTGTGTGGTATGCCTGTATGGAGTCTCTGTGTGTAGTATGTATATGTATGCATGTGTTTGTGTTATGTATGTGAGTGTGCTTGTGTGTGTATATGTGTGTGGTATGAGTATATGTAGTATGTGTATATGAGTGTGCATGTGAAGTTGTGTGTGTGTGTGTGTGTGTGTGTGTGTGTGTGTGTGTTGGAAAGGCAGAGTGGAGGAGAAGGGAGTACCTCTCTGGTTAAGATATCTTCTGAATCATGATCCACAGAAAACCTTGATACCTTAACATGGTGCCTGCATGGTGCTTACAGTCAACTGGAAGTTCTTTCAGCACTGCTTTCAGTTACTTTCAACAGCACATTCTGGTTTTTCAATCTTATTTTGTTTCATTTCTTTGAGAAAGAAAAAAAGCTGGCAATATCCCAATAGCTGGTTTCCCAACTCTCTAACTGCATTCTGCAGTGTATGCATCATTGTTTTCAAAGCCATCAGTTGGGTTGACTGAGGGGAAGTCACGTGGCAGTAGAGGGACTTTGAACAGCATGGCTGGTAGAGGCTTCACAGTGCCAGAGAGAGCAGGATGGGTGTTCCCAGACAAAGGACAAAGAAAGATGCTCAGTGACGTGGTTTGGATCTGAACTGGTGTCTGAAGAAGGGCAAGCAAGAGTCAACAAGGTCCAGGAGGGAGGCTTGGCTGTGGCCACAGAAAACAACTGATAAGGTCTGGGCCAGAATGAGCTCCAGTTTCCTAGGAAGAGGAGAGGAGAGGGTGTGGAGAAGCTGGGAAAGAGTACACAGTGGCAAGTAGCCTTTGGCACTAATTTTGAGTCCACCCAATGTCCGTGAAGTCTATTGAACATATCCATACCCACCCACAATTGTCTGGGACTCCAAGAAGGTCAATGGCATCAATGTCTTAAGCCCAGTGGGGCTAAGGATAGTGGGTCTGACCATTTTGTAATCTCTATCTTAGTTAACTTTGCTGGTGGTGGATCCAGCCACATGTTTGCTTTTACTTTTTCGTTATACTCTGGTTGCTTGTATAGCAAATGTGTTTCCTAAAGCATTTAACCACAGGGGTGAGGAGGTAGAAATTCTCAAAAACAGAAAAGAATGCAGTTTTGTACAGAAAACAAATGATAAAATTTGAGGTTCTGCTTTTGCACCTCTTTTTGTATTAGGCCTTGGAAGTAACTGGGCTGTCGTCACCTGAGGGCAATGCTAGGTTGTTCTATACAGAATCCCCCGCATAGTGGTTTGTCAAATATTTCTTGGCTTATCATATTTCAAATGCAGGAGACAAACTAGAAAAACAAAAGTAAGGAGCCTTGGAACTGCCCCCAGCAACAACTATTCTCAGAGCCCTAGAGTGGACATCAGTGGCTTCCCTCCCCAGGGGATAGTGAGCCCTTTTGTGGAAACCCATCTCAGTAGATAATGGAAGAGGACACTGGTCTTGGCTCTGATTGGATCCCAAGTGTATCAGGTGAATCTTTAACAGAGAATTCTGTAATGCTGTGTCCAGGCAGAACTCCTGGGAGGCTTTTTTAATGCCAAATTTTGATGAAATTTGTACTTGCAGAATAGAAACACAAAATCCCCAGACGAGACCCTTCACTAGTCCTGATACCACTCAATGGCAAACATCTTTTGGTACCATTTGTATTTGAGTTTAGAAGGAAGTTTTTGTTTCTATCTTACAGCATGGATGGCAATGGCTAAGTTGGTGAGGCACAGCTGGGATTTAGGTACTAACTCTTAACCACACAGATGTGGCCAGTGAGATATCATATGGGACTAACAACACACAGTTGGGTGGGGAAAAGCCAAACTTCAACAAGTGCTGCCATTTCCCAGCCAATACCTGGCCTCTTCTGATTAGGAGCAGGAATCTGCTTTGAGTGAGAGCAGCTGCTTCTGAGCTGCCAGGGGTCAGTTACACTGGGAGTGGCCAGACTGGAAAATCAGTCCAAAGGCCAAGGGTAGATGCACAGCAGGCAGCCTGAAAAGTCAAAGAATCTGCATTTTTCACTACTAGACAAGCAGGTAGCCCCGCCCCAGCCTCCCACCCTGGTTCCCTTGGAAGAAGGGAGGAAGAAGGACAGAATGCTAAGCTGTGAGCACTGGGGGGGGGGGGGGGGGATAGAGGGCTGTGACAGGCCAGCCTCTGTGGCTGGCCAGCCTCCTGAATGCCAGTTTGGGTTCAGCATTCGTGTGGTGCACTTTTATACATGCAGGCAAACACTTACAGACATAAAATAAAAACAAATAATTCTTTTGTTTTAAAAGAATATTCTGTAATAAGGGATCTGGAGAGATGGCTCAGCTCAGTGGTTAAAGGTCTCAATGCTCTTCTAGAGGACCCAGGTTCAGCTCCCAGCACCCACTTTAGTGGGTTCACAGCCTCCTATAAGTCCAGTTCAGCTCCAGGGGATCTGATACCCTCTTTTGGCCTAAGATTGCACTGCGTGTGTGTGTATACAATACACACACACACACACACACAATTTTATTCGCATGTCTGCATACACATGTAACCACATAACACACAGAAATAAGTAAATGTCATCAGACACCAGTGGAAAATGTTTGCAATACAAAGTGTCAGAGCAGAAAACAAACTCCAGCCTCAGCTATCAGAAGGGCAGGCAGGCTGGGGTCTGCTTGGCAAGTCTGTGTGTGAAAGGGAAAAGGCATAACGGATTTGAGTAGATGAAGGCTAAGATAGTTCACCTGTGAGAGCCTGAGCATGAGCTCTGTGGGGAAACAGGCTAAATCAAAGTGATGGGAATAAGAACATAAAACAATATCAGATTCAGAAGAATTTAAAAAACAAAACAAACCTCCAAGTCTAAAATCCCACAGTTGCATATTTTCAGAGAACTTTTTTCCTTCTCTTGGGTGAGCGCATTCCCTTTTGATATAGTGAGAGGTTAAGCCATTTTCTTCTTTTCTTCATTATTCTGAACAACCACATTAGCTTCCAGAGATTTTCCTGCATGTTTAACTCTTAGTGCCTTCTTAAAATAAATTTCAGTTGGTCGGTTATTATTTAGATAACCTGCTAGATTCATTTCTCCAATGATTTATTTTGAAATTGTACAGATACCTGTATTTATAAATGAAGTAAGACTTTCTGTGTCATTTGTTTTGTCAGTGTCACAGTTGGGGTTTCCATTGCTGTAAAGAGAAACTATGACCACAGCAACTTTAACAAGAAAACATTTAATTGGGACTGGTTTATTGTTACCATCACAGCAGGGAAGCATGGCAGCACACAGGCAGACTTGGTGCTGGAGAAGCAGCTGAGAGTTCTACATCTGGTTCTAAAGGCATCAGGAAGAGAGTGTGACATTGGGCCTGGCCTGAGCATCTGAAACCTCAAAACCTACCCCCAGTGACACACTTCCTCCATTAAGGCCACAGCTCCTACTAGTCCCAGCCCCTATGGGCCTATGGAGGCCATTTCATTCAAACCACCACAGTCATTTTGCTGACTTCATTCAATGGAATTGGAATAGGGTCTCTTAGAGGAGCGCATAATTGTAACACTGCCATTAAAACCCGGAGCCAGCCTGTGATCTGTTTGGGCCCCAGGGTTTTGTTTGTCTGCTCCATTATAATAATTTGGAGTGGAGGACAGGGTGGCAATGGGAGATGGAGTTGGATAAATTCCTCAAAAATTTTAAAACAGCCATTTAGATGGGTTGGTTCTACACAGAACTGAAAAGAAACAGCACAAAGTGCTAACAGAACGCCACTTTGTCCCCTAGATCAGGAAGTGTGCTCCACCACTGGAATGAAATCTACTACTTTGTGGAGCAGCTGGCTCATAGATTCATCAGGTGAGTGTCACTCCCTTCTCTCATTGCTGAAGGTGAGTCCAACCTCTCTACTGTTCTGAGAACCCCCAGACACTGTGGGCATGCACACTTGAGCAGACTAGTGGGTAAGGTGTCACAAGCACTAAGTAACCAGCTTGTGCCAGTTGGCTTATAACCCTTCTGACTTTAATATGAACACACCATAGTCCTGAGCAAGCCATGGCTGGTCACATGACCCTTGTATCCTCTCTCTGTGGGCTTGACCTCATCTTCCCAGACAGTTTTGAGCATAGTCACTATGAACTGTGAAGGTGCTACTTAAGGACACATATTAGTAAAGGAGGTGACATCATACTGTGAGATCACACAGCTTTCATGGATGTACCTACAGCACATACAAGGTCCTTGGTGCAGCTGTGAGCATTGTGAGCGTTGATGCAGTCTCGATGGTGGTAGATGATCTCCATGGAGACCAATGTGAGTGAACATCAAATTCTTCAGCCTATTTCTATAGTACCGGGTTCTCTGAACCCAGGGTAATGGCACAGTCTCCTCCCATACCTAGTTATCAAACAACATGCTCTTACCTCCCTAACAGGAAAGGAAGAGTGGCCTTGAATCTGCTGCAGGAGTCACCTAAACCCAGGTGACTTAGGAAAGTGGGTGCTGAGAGGAAAATCCCGAGAAGCACAGACAAGAGAGAGACAGTGTATGTGTGATGTTACACAACATTTAGACAAATTATTGAACTTCGAATTGATAGGAGAGACTTCCCAGTCTAGCTTGAGAGCTATTCAGGAGCCTCATGTTGAAAAGTTTTAGTGAGAAACTTCTGCATTTTAGATCATTTCATTTCAAAGCCTTTTGTTGTTATGGAGCCAAACATCCTGTCCTGCACTCTCACCCAGTGACCCTTTCAAGTGACCTAAAGCACATCTACGTCCAAGTCCTTGACAGCCTCTGCTCTGTCTCCACTTGCTGTCCTCATTTCTCCCTCTGAGCAGAGGAACCAGTGAAGAAGGACCCAGTTAGGTGAGATGAGTTTTGAATCCAAGCTCCCTGTATAACCCTAGCCATTGGCTTAACCTTGGCTGAAGCTGAGGTTCCACAAAAAGAACATACAAATATGTGCATACCAAGTTGCCTAATATCTTCATGGAAGTGGGCCTCCAGCACTGTCTGCCAGGTCTATAGCTGCTCCATACACTTCACTGTATTAGAATCAAAGACACGGGTACAGATGAAGAAAGAAAACACCAGGGACATCACCAAGGTTTACTCTTAGACTTCAAGATGCTCTCCTATGGTCTCCTCCCTTTGTACTTTTTGGCTGTGGACTCTGTCAGTCATGTTTCTTGTCTCTGTGACAACCCCCTTGGAGAACAGACTAGAAGGAGGGAAGTTTGTTGGGATCATGGTTGCAAAAGTTCCATGCCATACTAACTCCACTATTCCAAGACTGTGGTGAGGCAAAGCTTCCTCACCCAAGCATGTGGTGTAGCAGCGCCGCTTCCCTCATGGTGAGCAGGAAGCAGAGGCAGCATCAGGCAGGGACTGGAGACCTAATAGGAGTTCAAGGGAATGCCCCCAGTACTCATGTATACCACCTAGGTTCCACCTTCCATGCTTTCCCTCCCTCTCAACAGACTGTTCCAATGTTGAATCCATCAGTGGACTGAACCATCAATGAAATAGGGTCTGTGATCCAGTCCAATTGAAGCCCCGCCCCTGAACATCACTTGCATCAATTTCAAAACTTAAGTTTTTCAGGGAGATGCCTCATATCTAGACCATAGCAGCCCCCCTGGTGTGCAGGGGCCAAGACTGTCATCAAGTTTTGTTTCTGTATCAGCCCAGGGGCTGTTAGCAGTGCCAGGTACACTCTTGAGTAAGTGGAGGGAAAAAATACCATTGTCAACAAATGGTTCTGGGGACACTGGATTATCTATATATTGAAGAATGAAACTACATCTAAATCTCTTACTCTGAACAAAAATAAACTCTAAATGGATCAAGGACCTCAACTGAAGATCTGAAACTCTGAAATCACTATAAGACATAGGCATAAGTAAGGACTTTTTGTACAGGACTCTAGTTACTCAAGAGATAAGGCCAATAATTAACAAATGGGGCCTTGCGGAATTTGAAAGCTTTGGAATAGCAGAGGAAGCTGTCAGTCAAGTGAAGAAGCAATTGCTAGAATCAGATAAAGCCTTTGCTAGCTACAGGTCTGAAGGAAGAGTAACATTCACAGCATACAAAACACTCAAAGATTAATCATCAAGAAAAGAAACTTTTGTTCAGAGCTTCAAGTTGGCCATTAGCTAAACTCTTGCCACACCCTCTGGTACTCTGGGAGTGATGATACAAAGATAAGAGCAGGAAGGAAACTGCAAAGGAACTGACATGCCCCAGATGTTCTGCGGGACTTAACAGACTTTCTTTCCTTTCTAGCCCACAGCTAAGGATGTCCTTCATTGTCTTCTCTACTCGAGGGACAACCTTAATGAAACTAACTGAGGACAGGTAAGGAGACTTCACAAATGTCATTTCAAAGCCTGTTTTCCTGAGTAGCCCTGAAACTTGTGCTGCCTGGTTTCTCAGAAGTCCATCACTCTCTCTCTTAATTTGAGCTTTGACCTTTGTCCTTCTGCTGGCTCACTCTGCAGTGACTTCTGATATTTCCTGACATTAGTGAAATGTTTTAAATGACTAGACCATGTTGAGATGAACCTTTCTTTTGAATGTTAACTCCATCTGCTGAGTTGGGGTAAAATGTTGGCAAATTAGGTTCTTTGGGGATTGTGTTTTTGCCTATTTGAATTGGATTTATTTTGTAAACTAGAGTTTCAGAAATGTGGTAAACATTCCACTAGGGAGGTAAGAGCCTAAAGTATGTCCCTGTATGGTTATCAAGGATAGGAGCAGTAAATGAAAGTTGTGGCACCAAATCAATAAAAGGAAATTTTAAACGAGTATGGGAAAATGTCAGTTTTTACAAATATTATCAGGGATTTAACCATATTCCACTGCACACATGAAGACCATTGGTGACAGACACATGCCATTTATTCATAGTTATCATGATGCGTGGAAGAGTGAAGGATAATCTTGCATCTGAGTCACTGCATACTTTTTCTGAAAAATGAGGCATGGTTCATATTAGCAGCATTGGATTCCTGGCTGACTTAAATACAGGTATACTGGAAAAAGAAATAGAGGAAGGGCAAGGGTTGCTCTATCTTTTTGTTGTTCTAACGAAATACCACAGACTTGGTACTTTATAAAGAGAAGAGGTTTATTTAGTTCACATTTCTGGAGAGTCAGGAGTCTATGCCAACATCTATATGGACATCAGATGTGACCCACAGCATCACAGCAGCAGAGACCACATGGTGAGATGGAACACAGATCGTCAATGGGAAAGAGTCTGGGTCCTACAAGAGTGACTTTAATCTCCTCAAGGGCCATCTTCCAGTGACACAGTTACTTACCCTAGTCCCTACCTCCTAGTGGCTGGCTCTTAGTAGCACCATACTGAGAACTGAGTGTCCAGTTCACAGTCCTCAAGCCAAACCATATGTAGCAAGTGTACGAAGGGCCGGAAGACTTCAACTGATAACACCCTTTTACGGACATGAGAATAGAATTAACAAGCTTTCTGGCTGAGACCAACAAGTCCAAGCCAGTGCCATGGCTCTCCATACCTGTTTTTCCATCTACAACTCCATTTTCAAATTTTCTTCCTCCCTCAACATGAATGCTGCTGAGATGCCCAGAAAGCCCATTTCAAAAGAAGTTGCCATTCCCTCTTCACAGAGGAGGTAAGACCACGCCTCCTTCCCATGGACACCAAACAGAATGCAGACTAGGCTCTGGCTCCCTTGTTTCTCCGTGTCCTTGAACATTCTCTCTACAGAGAAAACCCTGAAATCTAAGAAACCTCTTTCAGGGTTGACCAAGCACTTTGAGAAGCTTTGAGGAAGGACCTGACCTTGTGTGAGAGTCGTAATCCTCAGTCTTTATATGCCATCCTTCAGCAGGCCTGGCTTCTGCTCAGAGATGGGAAAATAAACAAAAGTCTAACTGATCCTGCCACACCCTTTCTTCAGTACTAGGCCAGGTGCATCTGAGGTACACAGCTAGGGCAGTGAGATGTAAATTGCTCATAGTGTCAGCCACAGTTTCTTTGGTCACTGGCTCAGCTCCTATGTGGATAAGAAGAAACTCTTAAGCTAATCCAAGACTGTGGATGCTAACCATTCTTGTGGGGGTACCTGGATCATCAGTCACAAACCAGAACCAGAACCAGAACCAGATCTCACCTGTGGGTTACTGCCTTGGCCTCTGGGCAGCTGGCCAGGCCAGGTGAGAGATGGGTAAACACAATCAGAATGTCAAGCGGACAGTGTTCCTCTCAGTCTGCTTGCATTCTAATTGTTTGCACCTTAACTTCATTACCACCAGTTTCTTTAGCAACCCCACTGTGCTGCAAACGACCTTTAATGTTGAAGGCTCCTATGGTGACTGGCTAAACCTGGGCCCAACATACCACATACAGAGGAGGCAAGGGATCATTTTCAGATACCCTATGGAGACTGGCTGCAAGGATTGGTTTTTTTGATCTGGTTCCAACTTGTCTTACAGCGATTAGTTGGGTACAGAAATCTCTGTCTTTTTCTTATAAGAGTATTTGCTCTTGATGGCAAAGGGTGCATTGTTATGCCCTCTGTGTATTTCAGAAAGTTTATAGAGTTTTAAAAGAAACTTGTTAAAATAAAAGGGCACTAGGCTGGAGGATGTAAAAATGCTTTATTTGCCAGTGTGAGGACCTGAGTTTAGAGCGCCAAATCAACACTGACAAGGCAAACTGGCTGAATGTGCCTCTTATCCCAGCCATAGTGGGAGGGGTGGAGGGAACAGGTAGATTACACAGAAGTTCAGCAGCCAGCTAGCCAGCCTGTTTGGCAAAGCTATAAGCCATTGAGATCCATTCTCAGGAAGGCACCTGAGGGCCAACACACACTCCCTCACATACTGTGTACATACACACCCACGCCTACACTTGAACTTACACACAAAACAACAGGTCATCAGTCAGGAAAGAGTCTCATTTTAGCAAGATGAAAAAGTGTGTTAATCTAAAGACATAATATTGAAGATGCATTTGCAATGTATTCTGATATGTTCCTGGGACCTAAAATGCATACAAGAAAACTGGAAGGATGAAGAAATGCAATGAGAACAACAGTGTGTTGAGGCACAGTACAGGGACCGTAACGAGAATGATGACATACCCTTCTCCAGTTTCTCACGGTGTGTCATTAAGTTCTTAACTTTGTGTGCTGTTTCAGCAGGGATTCCTTCTAACCACTGTGACAGTTTCTCATCTTTAGGTCCCAGAAGTTTGGTTTTGGTGTATGGGGGCTGGAAAGAGCTGATTGAATCTATAAATCCTCGCCTTTTACTAGATTTGGCAAGGTTTAAACCACCGCTGTGCAAGTTTTTTGCTTGTTGATTTGTTGTTTGTTCTGTGGCATTCGCTTTCTGCTTTCTGGGAATCCTACAGTGCAGGTGAAGACATCTCCATCTTACCCCACATGGCCCTGGAGTAGGTTCTCTTTCCCTGTCTTTCTCTCTGTTCTCAGTGGATGGTTTCTGCTGCTGTCTCCGGAGTCAGCGGCCCCTCCCTCTGTCCTCTTCCTTCAGCCTTTGAGCGCCTTTTCTCAATTACAGATATTTACATTTTCAGTTCTAAAATTTCCATTTGGTTCCTCTTGAAACTTTCATGCCTCGGTCAAATACCGTTTCATCTTTATTTTAGTCCCAATTGTCCCTGTGACCTCACAGGGTAGTTTGGTTACTGTAACTGCATTCAGGTCTGTCACAGGTCCAGCCACTTGGGATTGGTGTCACAATCCCTATGAGAGCTGATCATACATTTTAAAATGCATTTATTTGTTGAATACATTTTTTAGGGTGTGGCTTTACTTTTAAATTGTTTAAATCTTGGAGTTTTTTTTTCTTCTTCCTTCGCTTCAGTTCGCTATAACCCAGGTTCAAGCCACTCTTCTAACTCTAGTGTGGACAGAGGTTTCAGTGTCCTCTGTTACCCAGGCTGTTTTTGATCCAATGGCAGAACTCACTAGCTTCCTCAGTTTCAATAAGCCAAGATCTGTGGGCCACTCATTAGAGCATAGTAGAGTGTATAATGCTGGCTGAAGCATCATTGTAATATAGCAGTTTAGTGTGAACTACTACAGATGAGTCCCTGAAAACTCTAAGTCTTAATCATGTCGTGACATTACTCGAAACATTTCAAATGTTTTATTGTCTGGATATGAGATCATGTCCGAAAAGTCTAACTAGCACTTTACAGAAATCCAGAGAGTTGAAGGTTTAACCGAGTACCCATGTGTCATCTGTTAACATGGTCATATATTTCATCTTTGTTTTTACATACCATGGGAGTAGAAGCCATCAAAAAGATTTTAAAATGCTGGCTGATTTTCATATTTTTGGTTGTATTTGGTTATGGTATATTCTTTTCATGTGAAAGGGAATTCTGTTTTCTGTATATTATTCAGAAAGTTAGCATCCTTATTCATAATTGCTCTTTTATTACTGCCTTTGCTTATGGCTATTTGCATTTTATTTGATTTTTAAGTATTGCAACAAGTTATTACCATGTAAGATATGGGGCCAACATTTTACATTTCCCCTGCACTGGGAACTGGTTTTTCAGCACTGCTGCAAAACAGCCTTTTAACCAGCCACGTAAAAGTGGCCTGGGTGGATCTGGGCACTGTTTTCTGCTCTGTTATGGTTCCATTTTGTTTTCTTGCAGTTCTACACTCAAACCACATTGTTTTAATTAGTTTCAACATCTGGAGGACCAGTCTTTTCTCGTTTCCAATATTGAGCAAAAGTCTCCTTGGTCTTCAGTGGATTTTTCCAACCATGTGCTTTTAGGTTTTTTGTTGTTGTTGTTTTTCCTTTAGTGTTCCAAATATCCTTGGGGTTTCCATCCGAGTCCTCTGAAAGGTTTGGTCCTGGCACTGATGGCATCGAATTCTTACTGCTCAGCACTCACTGTTACTTAAGGTGCTTATCCCTTCTGTGTAGTGTCCTCCAGAAAGGTTTTGTTCTTTTCCTTAGTTGCATTTTGTGTTGGTTAGCTCTGTTCCCTCTGTGAATGGAACATCTCTGTTACATCACCTAGGTTATTAATGCTCACAGGCATGGTGGCTTGGTGTCTGGAGCCCATGAACTTCAATTAAGCAGAATAAAATGCTTGTAGAAGCATCCATGGGACTTCAACATGGACTCCAGAAGTAGCTCAAGAAACAATGATTTGGGGGCAAATTACTGGGTTTTACAGAATTTTTTCTTTTATCTTCCTCTCTGTCTCTTTGTCTGTTTCTATGCCCCCATCCCTGTCCCCCACTCTTCCTCCCTCCTTTTCTTTGGTATTGTGACTGGAACTCAGGGCTTGGTCATGTTAGCCAAAATTGACCTCCAACCTG